TTTGTTGTTGTTTGTTGTTGTTTGTTGTTGTTTGTTGTTGTTTGTTGTTGTTTGTTGTTGTTTGTTGTTGTTTGTTGTTGTTTGTTGTTGTTTGTTGTTGTTTGTTGTTGTTTGTTGTTGTTTGTTGTTGTTTGTTGTTGTTTGTTGTTGTTTCTTGTTGTTTGTTGTTATTGTTGTTATTAATTTCGTTTTGCTGGACTGCTTTATTTAATAAAACTATACTACTATGTCCTCCACGGATACCGCGGATGAAGGTGAAAACATACCGTTCACCCCTCTCAAAAAACGTCCAAAAAAGGGACATTTGGACTCCCGAACAAAAGAAATGATCCTCAATGTTTATAAACATGAAAGGCTACAGAATCCTGGGATTGTGGTTAATGAAGTTGAAAGAAGAGTGGCAGATAGAACAAAGGTGTGTTGCAAAACTGGTTAACATCGTTAAGGAGTATAAACAAAACAGAACATTCTCGGAACCAAAAAGAAAATTGCGCTATACGCAAATCTTAGATTCCATAGAAGATTTCGATAAAGCTGCATTAAGACGGAAAGTGCATCAATTCTTTTTTAGGAATGAGCTTCCCACAGTCGATAAAGTTTTAAAAGAGGTTAATGATGATCCAATAGAATTAATTTGGGCAGATATGAAGAATTTCGTGGCCGACAGAAACGTAACTTTTAAATTTGCCGACATGAAAATTCTTTTTAACGAGGCGGCATTATTAATTTCTCAAGAGAAATGGCAGTGCTGTATTGAACATGTACGTCAAAAGGTAGAACCAAAACTGTGGGAACTAGACAATATCAGGGAATTTTAAATTAAACCAATTGTAATAGCAGTTGGTGATAGTAGTAGCTCAAGCATATCAGAATTAGAGTCAGAATAATACATTTAAGTAGGTCAGTAGCTATAGTCCCAAAAAAACTTTTTAAAAAAACGTTCATTTTAAAAAGTGACCCTTAAATGTACGAAAGTAAGTTGTTATGGCTTCTAATTATTAAAAAAATATAGCATACATATTAAAATGTTCACTCAGTCCAGTCCTGGTCCCGATTTTGTACAATACATATTTTAAGATTTATTAATATTAAAATAAAAACAAATTCAAAAATTTATTTTTTCGTGTGGTTCACGAGCTTAATGCGGCCCTGTTCTGTTTAGGTGATTCTGTTGACATCGGGCGTATTTAAAATGCGAATATAGTATAGTTTTAAAATATAAAGAAAATAATAGTAGCCAGGTGACCAAAATATGAACTGTATGATGGTTTTCATATTTGTACAGTGTTCTTACTAGGTAGAATGGATATAAAATATATTCGTTCAGCTGAACGCAATGGTATACTTTTTCGTTTTGTAGTCTGTACGTAGAATAGATAATATCCATGTGGGTGTAAAAAAATTGGTATTCGTTATTATCATTGTTGTGAACAAATCTACTTGCAATAAACCCAGAAAAGGGATGTGGCCTCCTGACATCCAACGCGTAACGCATGAACCTAAGCTATGGAGTGTAGAGGAAAGGAGGACAATCTAATATGATATCTCCAGAAGTATCCACTATGAAGACTAAAGATAAGGATGCGAATCGGCATACTTGAAATATTGTCCCAAAAAACGAAAGTTAATTGAGCTTTTTAAATTCACCGCAAGGGCGCCGGTGTTGCTAGCGCTTTTCAAAATATATGGCTTCTTATGAGAATTTTAAATAATTTTGTCAAAATAATAAAAATAAACGTGTTTATTGCCAAATGAAGCATATAATATACTGTTGCATTTATTTCTAAATAAGTCTCGCATGTTTTAATTGATAAATTATTTAATTTTATCTATATAAAATGCAAATTAGATAGGTATGACCAAATTCGAAAAAGTTGTTGAATGATGAAATTTGGTAAGTACAATTTTTTGGCTATTTTTTTTTAAAATATACTTAAATATAGTTTTAAGCGCAAAATAAAACACAGCATATTTTGTACTGTTATAATACAAGCATAAAGGGAGATTTGGGAATGTACATGATATTCCCCCATCCTTTAATTTCGGCTTTCGTCTTTTTATTTTGTAACAGTACCATCTGTAAAAAGAGTCTCGTAATATTTGAAAATATCTTCAATAAAGTGTAGAACAGCATTATTTCTAGAAATGGCTTTGTCGACCCTAGAAACGATATGTTGCCACTGTTTTAAGCGTTTACGATCCTATAAAAAACATTTACAATGACAAAATTGGGTTTCAACAAAATCTATTTATCTAACAATAAAACTATAAAAAAAACAAATTCTCTTTTCCAATTAGTTAAATTTAATGTGTAAATATTTTTGTCTGTAAGTCAGGATTTATGACTGTAAAATTTTATATTATAGAGACTAATAAAACTAACTATACTCCGTAAGATACGTGTTGTGACTGATTCACAATAAATATTACATTTAGACATAAATACATTACGAGCCCTAACACAAAAATGTTCGGACATCAACTGATTTTGCGAAAAAGTTTGAAAATTTCCTTAAGGAATTCAATATCATTTTCATTTATAAGACATTTATTAATCAATATTAGTTTATTTGAAAACAATTTCATAAATATGATGTAAAACAATACATATTATGTCTTACAAATGAAAAAATGATATTGAATCCCTTAAGGAAATTTTCAAACTTTTACAAAAATCAGTTGATGTCCGAACATTTTTGTGTTAGGGCTCGTATTTTACTTACATTAGAAGCATTAAAAAGAGATTGAATTGATTTCTTCATGTGGTTTCTTTAGTTTTACGTCTAAATTCTGTACCATCCGTGAATAAGTGGATAAGTCAAATTTTAGTAAAAATAGGATATCTACATCTAAAGGGCTCTTCCCATTCTGTTTGGTGAATAAATGGGTGATTCAAATTCGCAATAGCTTCCTCCATGAGTTTACTTTAGAGGACACTGTGAATAGTTGGATTTCTCCAATTTTTTGTGCCAAAACCGGTTAACTACAGCTATCCCCGGATTTGGAAGAGGTTTATACAAATGATCAGTCATTTTTTAGTTTTCTTTTCCAATCAAAATGTATGTTATTTGAAATAAGTTCACTTTGCTTTTTTCATGAATAAATAAAAATATTAAAAAAATTTGTCCTGTTTATTTATACTAGAATAAGTCAGTCACTCAACAACAACATACACATTTGAGGTCAATACATAGGCAAGTCAGATTTTATCCATTAAGTAATATAATTTCACAGGTCATAATTATTTACATCGGTGGTTGTATAATTAACAACCTATTTCAAAAAAACGAAATTCAACTTAAAATTTGTTCTTCGAAAACATCAAAATGTTTAAAATGACCATACTGAAAAACTTCAATTTTTGACTTACCGATTTATTCACAGATGGTACAGAATTGTATCCTTTTTTACAATCTAGAATGAAGTAAATCTTGCTTTGATGTTATTTGTCAGTCATCTTACTTGCACTCAGGTACTTTTTTCACATTATTTTGATTCTTTTTACCAATTTTTTAAAAAATCGCTTTATTCTAGATTGACTTACATAGAAAATGAACGGCAGTGACGTTCGACCTGCCAACTACAGTCAATTTGGCTAACGTTATAAAAAGAAGGACGGATATTTGAAATTTGATCATTGTCGATTCGCCTTCTTTTCTCTAGTCTTCATAATATCCATCCAAAAGCAGTAAAAAGGTTTCAGAAAGTGACCAGAATGGTGTATGTGTACGAGAATAACAATATCCAATGATATACAGTTAAATAGATTGCTCAGAAATTTTAATAATTTAATTAATTTACTGAAGGAAAATTAACATTATTCATTAAAATTTATAACAAATAATAAAAATAATGAAAAAATGTTATGTTATGTCACAATTTTAACAGCTTTTGATTGAAATAAATATATACAATAAAATTTGAATATTGTTGTCTATTATCAAAGTTTCTTTACGATAATGTGCTCAGTCGCTTTTCACGGTGTAGTTTTTAGGTTATACTTTCTTATTTACATATGGATGAGCTATAGACATCATTGGTGTAATTGTATGATGTCACAACTTTCGGCACTTTCAAACGGCATTTTGGTATTCAGGAGCGGCTCGTGACCAAAATTTTGGGGGTTCACAGTAGCAGAATATAGATCCCGGTACAGATACAGGTAAAAAACTGTCACAGCCGTATGCATAGTCGATCAAAAGCTGGCGACTCGCCGGAGATTGTCACCGGAATGTCATTTCACGCAAGTTTTCATGTTCTTTTAAAGGGAAAAATTTAATATTCGTTCATTATTTTTTGAGTTTTAAGAAATGAACTATGAATAAAATGCGAGAGATACCGGTGATAATCCCTATAAAAGAAAATAAAAACTTGCGTGAAATGACATTTCGGTGACAATCTCCGGCGAGACGCCACCTTTTTGGGCTTTCGCCGGCGGATCGCCAGCGAATCGCTGGCGATCGACTATGCATACGGCTGTGAAAGTTTTTTCATACATCTCTACTGATACCTATATTCTGTCACTGTGAACCACCACACGAGCCGCCACTGCTGGTACAGTACGCCATCTTAATTTTATACATTTTGAGGGACACTTGTAAACGGAGATAGTTTTCCTTATCTCTCCACTCCATAAGGCTAGCTAAAATTAAATCAATATTTCTGACAGTTAATCATTCTTTGCTTTCATTTGGTGTACACTATATACTAACGACCCATAGCGGATCTTTCAGACAGTTAAAACAGCTGTCATGCAGAGCATATAAGACCTCTTAGATCATGCCCAATATCCGTCATAATTGCAAGAAAGCTCTTAGATTGTGCTCAATATCTGCCAAAACCCCAAGCAAATACTCAACCAACAACATTGAGAGTATGCAATGGCCTTCATTCAGTCAAAGTCATAATATGATATTTTTGATAAATTTTTCGAATGGTTCGGTTTTAGAAAATCGCGCCGTATAATCTCATAACAAAAAAAAAGGTTATCATCCTCTTACCTGTAGTCCAAGTTGTAAAGAAGGACTCAATATTTCCAGAACGTATTCGCTTTTGGTTAGATTCGAAAATAATATCGCCAAGTCATCCCAATGCTTGTGGTTTGCAATGCTGTCAATATTTATCGTATTATTTAAGTGAAAAGTCTTGTACGCCGGATAATATCTTTGACATTGTCTGAAACAATTCAAACGAAATCAAAACGAAATAAGAAAGAAAACTAAACTACCGAACATTTTAATTTTTTATTAGACTTGATAGCGCGTTCTGAGAACTATTTCACGATATTTTACTTTTCTGTACATTTTTTTCTTGGGTGATGCATAATTTATAATAATTTGTAGCTCAAAAAAAAATATACGCAGAATATCCGAAACGGTAAAAATATGCAGAACTCATGCATAAAAGATATATCGAAGTTCGTTTGAAGTTGATAAAAGGCAGGTAAGTACTTAATTGCCTATGAAACACAAGCTTAATACTTTTGTTTACAAGAAGTAAATATAATATCCCTAAACCATAAAAACGATAAGAATTAGAATTTAAGTTAAGAAACTGCGGAAATCAGAAAACATTCTGGAAAGAATTACGTAATCTAGATATTTACTCTAAATCTAAGAACCATTCCTTGCCAATAGAACTAAAAAAATCCAAAAGAAATTAACGAATATTTTGTAAATGCATCGAAATCTGATTTTCCTGTGAATAATTTAACAGTCGACTATTACAAAAATAATATATTGCCTAATATTATTTCTTTTAATTTTTCATTAACGAACGAACTAGAAATCTATAGAACTATATTATCGTTTAAGTCCAAAGCTGTTGGTCCAGATCTTTTAAGTGTTAACATGTTACTGTACGCTTGTCCATTTATTTTAAAATATATTTGTCACATTTTTAACACTTGCATTACCCATAATGTTTTTCCGTCTACCTGGAAAAAATCTCTAATCCATCCACTGCCCAAAGTTAGTAAACCGTTAGATTATAAATCACTTCGCCCTATTAGTATATTATGTGCTCTTGCAAAGTGCTTCGAAAAAATTGTTCATGTACAAATAAGTTTACACATTAATAATTATACTATTATACCTCAACAGCAATCAGGATTTAGACCTAAACATAGTTGCACTACCGCTTTATTAAACATTACTGATGATATTCTTAGGGCAATTGATCGTAATGAATTAACAGTACTTGTACTATTAGATTTTACCAAAGCTTTTGATAGAATAAAACATGAACTGTTGCTAGCCATATTCCATTACATTGGTTTCTCCGATAATGCAGTTGAGCTGTTGAGCAGCTATCTTCAGGGAAGGGAGCAAGCTGTTGTTGTGGACAAAATAGTATCACAATATTTGACAGTTGAGAATGGTGTTCCCCAGGGCTCTGTCTTGGGACCGATCTTTTTCAATATCTACACTTTTGAATTTTACAAATCACTGAGGTACTCCACTAGCCATTTCTATGCCGACGATACTCAACTTTATATTTCTTTCCCGGAAAATAATACTCAATTAGCAATAAAACAGTTAAATAGGGATCTCCAATCATTAGCGGATACTGCCAGACATTTTTGCCTCAGTCTTAACCCATCGAAATCCCAAGTTCTCTTCTTTGGAAGAAAAAATCCGCGAAAACGAACTCTGGACTCTGTTATCTTAAACATAAATGATACACCTATACCATTAGTTGAAAGTTCAAAAAATCTTGGTTTGATTCTGGACACCTCTTTGCATTATACGCAACATGTAAACTTAATTATTAAGAGAGCTTACTGCAACTTAAAGTTAATTTATGCAAATAGGGGACTTTTAGACCGAAAAAGTAAAATTACTCTATGTGAGGCTTTGGTATTTTCACATTTAAATTTTGCCGATGTAGTATATGGTCCAGCACTGCTAAAATGTGATTTGCGAAGACTCCAATTAGTACAGAACTCTTGTGTGCGTTTGATTTCTGGTTTAAAAAGACGCGACCATATCTCTGAAGCTTTAGCTGAGTTAGGGTGGCTAAATATTGAAAAACGAATCTTGTTACATTGTTTTATATTTTATCATAAATTAATTATCTATAAAGAACCATCGTATCTTTTTAACAAAATACAATTTAGATCAGACGTACACCATATCAATGTACGTTTTCGATCTTGCTTGACGCCGCCTATTCACTCTACTTCCCTCTTCGAATCATCCTTTTCGTATAATATAACCAGGCTATACAACAGGTTTCCGAGACATCTTCTTACTTGCTCATTGAGCACTATAAAAAATAAAATAAAAAACTTGCTATTTACTAATGAACTAACATTCTAGACTTGTGCTTTATTTTCGTTTTCTATTTATTATATTATTATTTCTGCGTCATTAACATGGATTAACTTGAATTTCGCGTGTTTTTATCTAGCTTATATTATTATCATTATTATAATTATTTTTAATTAAGTAGTTTAATTAAATAGGTTGAGTGGAAGAGAGGACTTACCCTTGCTTGCAAGGATTAGACCTAACTCTGCCTTTTGGCAAATATTGTATTTTGCTTATCTGTATGTTTTTTTTTTCTCTGCCAATAAAAGCTTTTATTATTATTATTATTATTAAGTAACGGTATACATATGTGATTACATTGAATGAAGCTGTAGACATAGTTCAAAACTGTTTTTTATAAAATATGAAATGTGGTGCTAGAAGAACTGTGTTTGCAATGTGAGACGCATAAATAAGAAAAAGCTTCTACGTTAAGGCTATTTCTACTTCTACTATTATGACGTCAATGGCTTGGCTTGTCTTGAAAGCCATTGACTAGATTTTCGGAGTAACGCTCCTTGCGATTGGTTAAAAGTAGAGAGAGAAAATTCTGCCATATAATAGAATTACATAAAATTTGGGCGCTTCGACTTGTAATCAACTTTCACATTTCGGTATAATAATAATAATAATAATAATAATAATAATAATAATAATAATAATAATAATAATAATAATAATAATAATAATAATAATAATAATAATAATAATAATAATAATAATAATAATAATAATAATAATAATAATAATAATAATAATAATAATAATAATAATAATAATAATAATAATAATAATAATAATAATAATAATAATAATAATAATAATAATAATAATAATAATAATAATAATAATAATAATAATAATAATAATAATAATAATAATAATAATAATAATAATAATAATAATAATAATAATAATAATAATAATAATAATAATAATAATAATAATAATAATAATAATAATAATAATAATAATAATAATAATAATAATAATAATAATAATAATAATAATAATAATAATAATAATAATAATAATAATAATAATAATAATAATAATAATAATAATAATAATAATAATAATAATAATAATAATAATAATAATAATAATAATAATAATAATAATAATAATAATAATAATAATAATAATAATAATAATAATAATAATAATAATAATAATAATAATAATAATAATAATAATAATAATAATAATAATAATAATAATAATAATAATAATAATAATAATAATAATAATAATAATAATAATAATAATAATAATAATAATAATAATAATAATAATAATAATAATAATAATAATAATAATAATAATAATAATAATAATAATAATAATAATAATAATAATAATAATAATAATAATAATAATAATAATAATAATAATAATAATAATAATAATAATAATAATAATAATAATAATAATAATAATAATAATAATAATAATAATAATAATAATAATAATAATAATAATAATAATAATAATAATAATAATAATAATAATAATAATAATAATAATAATAATAATAATAATAATAATAATAATAATAATAATAATAATAATAATAATAATAATAATAATAATAATAATAATAATAATAATAATAATAATAATAATAATAATAATAATAATAATAATAATAATAATAATAATAATAATAATAATAATAATAATAATAATAATAATAATAATAATAATAATAATAATAATAATAATAATAATAATAATAATAATAATAATAATAATAATAATAATAATAATAATAATAATAATAATAATAATAATAATAATAATAATAATAATAATAATAATAATAATAATAATAATAATAATAATAATAATAATAATAATAATAATAATAATAATAATAATAATAATAATAATAATAATAATAATAATAATAATAATAATAATAATAATAATAATAATAATAATAATAATAATAATAAATAATAATAATAATAATAATAATAATAATAATAATAATAATAATAATAATAATAATAATAATAATAATAATAATAATAATAATAATAATAATAATAATAATAATAATAATAATAATAAATAATAATAATAATAATAATAATAATAATAATAATAATAATAAATAATAATAATCATAATAATAATAATAATAATAATAATAATAATAATAATAATAATAATAATAATAATAATAATAATAATAATAATAATAATAATAATAATAATAATAATAATAATAATAATAATAATAATAATAATAATCATAATAATAATAATAATAATAATAATAATAATAATAATAATAATAATAATCATAATAATAATAATAATAATAATAATAATAATAATAATAATAATAATAATAATAATAATAATAATAATAATAATAATAATAATAATAATAATAATAATAATAATAATAATCATAATAATAATAATAATAATAATAATAATAATAATAATAATAATAATAATAATAATAATAATAATAATAATAATAATAATAATAATAATAATAATAATAATAATAATAATAATAATAATAATAATAATACTAATAATAATAATACTATAATGTCCGTTGAAAACGCATGGAAAGAAAAAGAACTTCATGGAAGATACCATAACATCCTTAACAACGATGAAAACATTGATAAAACAGCAACTCTGAGTTGGTTGACAAGAGGAGGAATATTTCCTGAGACAGAAGGGTTTCTTTGTGCCATACAGGACCAAATAATACCAACTAGATCTTACCTGAAATATATCGTAAAGGACGGAAACATAAAGACGACCAAGTGTCGGATGTGTAATAAAGGACACGAAAATGTCGAACACCTCATAAGCTCATGCGAAGTCCTAGCACCACGAGAGTACACAAATCGGCACAACAACGTCGCAAAGATACTCCACATAGAGATATGCTACAAACTCAAAGTAATCGATTGTAAAACACCCTACTACAAATACAACCCAAAAAATGTAGCAGAGAACAACAACTTTATGGTCTATTGGGACAGAGAAATTCAGACAGATCGGGAGGTAATACACAATAGGCCAGATATTCTAATCTTTGACAAACAGACTAAAGAAATAACAATAATTGACATATCTGTGCCGGCTCCTGCTAACATACATAAAAAAGAAAAAGAGAAAATTGATAAGTACTTACTTCTATCTGAGGACATGAAAGAAACCTGGCAAGCTACATGTGTGAGAGTTATCCCTATAGTAATTGGAGCAACCGGTGAAATTACCAAAAACCTAAAAAGGTACTTACAAGTTCTAGACCAGCCGTTCGGAATACATACAGAACTACAAAAAGCGGCGATCCTGGGAACATGCAATGTTGTCCGTAAAGTACTCAACAAACCTGCGAAAGAACAAGAAAAATAAGCAAAAAAAAACCAAAATCCTGCGAGCCTTGTGACTCACCTCACCGGCCGCAAAAAACCACCGTGACACACACGTGATTAAAAAAAAAAAAAAAAAAAAAAAAAAAAAAAAAAAAAAAAAAAAAAAAAAAAATAATAATAATAATAATAATAATAATAATAATAATAATAATAATAATAATAATAATAATAATAATAATAATAATAATAATAATAATAATAATAATAATAATAATAATAATAATAATAATAATAATAATAATAATAATAATAATAATAATAATAATAATAATAATAATAATAATAATAATAATAATAATAATAATAATAATAATAATAATAATAATAATAATAATAATAATAATAATAATAATAATAATAATAATAATAATAATAATAATAATAATAATAATAATAATAATAATAATAATAATAATAATAATAATAATAATAATAATAATAATAATAATAATAATAATAATAATAATAATAATAATAATAATAATAATAATAATAATAATAATAATAATAATAATAATAATAATAATAATAATAATAATAATAATAATAATAATAATAATAATAATAATAATAATAATAATAATAATAATAATAATAATAATAATAATAATAATAATAATAATAATAATAATAATAATAATAATAATAATAATAATAATAATAATAATAATAATAATAATAATAATAATAATAATAATAATAATAATAATAATAATAATAATAATAATAATAATAATAATAATAATAATAATAATAATAATAATAATAATAATAATAATAATAATAATACAAAAAACTATACAATGTAAAAAAAACATACAAACGGTCAAAAGGACTTTTGATCGGTTAAAAACTGTTCTTCCTCAGAAGACTGAATGAAAGTAAAACAAAAAGAATATAAAAATAAAAAATACGTATATACACGTATACACGTATACACGGATGAAACAAAACCATATAATAAAAAACAAATTTTATGCACGTCATATTCCGTAATAGACCCATAGTTGCTAGTAGACAACATTAGATTCGGAAGCATACATAATACCATGGTATGACACTGACAGTGATTCGTATTCGTGATCCGAAAAAATGAATTCGAATCAGTTGATTCGAATCCTTTTTTTTTTGTAAAAAGGATTCGGACATAGGATCCGTGATTCGAGTCATATCTCGTGATTCGGATTCGTGATTTGAATCTATTTATTGAGGATTCGTCCCAGCTCTGCTCTTTGGCACCTTCCTGTTAAATAATTTCTAAAAAAAGTTATATTTGTTTTCTCGAATCCTATGAAATTTAAAATTGTTAATTATTAGTCATGATTGATCATGTCGAATGCCTTGCTGTAATCTAATAAAACTAAGACTCCATATATGACAGGGCCGGCTTTAGTGCTTAAATTCGATCAAATATTTAAACAATACTTATTAAATATTATTAAATAATATAAGGCTCACGCCGATAAATAATCAATTAATTGTTTATGCTTTACCAATTTATCATGCATGAGTTGAGAGTATATTAATATACGATTTGATTTTCTGGAGCATCTCTACACTTTCTAAAGCCGTATTTCTAAAACAAAAACTAATAGTAAATATTGTCACTGGGTGCCTTCTACAGACAACTGAAAAACTTATTTAAAGACGGGGTATCCCTGTGCCTAAAAATCGAGTGTGTAGACCAAAACTTAAATCGACTGATTTCTGAATACATAGTATTTAAAAATAAAATTTTATTCGCTTATTTTAAATTGCACCAGCATTTAGTAAATACTGTCAATAAGAAGAAATTGGAATTTTTTGTAAATTTTTATGATTTTATACAGGGTGTCCCAAAATTTCGTGTACATAGAGCTAGTGTATGTTGGTGAGATCAAAATAGGTCAATTGAGCCAAAATTACCTATATCACAAAGTGCTTTGTTTGCCTGTGAGGAAGCTTCAAAGTTGAAAGAAAATTATTTTTTTTTAATAACTCAAAAACGCTTTATTCCATTTTTATAAAATTTGATATGTAACTATTTTAATTTAAGAGCCAAAATTACACTAACTAAACTCATGGGAGCGTAAAACCACCCTAATCCTACCATAAATGACATCGTTTTTTTTTTTGAGGGCCACCCCTCTTCCTTTAATTTTTTTGTGGAGACTATATTTATTTGTAGCATTTTTTGTTTCTTGCAAAAAACATGTATTTGAGTAAAAAAAAATTATGGACTGATTGGTAGTGACATAAAATTTTCGAAAAAATGGCAGTTATAACTAACGCAACCCGATCACTATCGCTTTTAATATTATTACAATAAAAAAAAATCACCAATAGTAACTGGTCAACTAATGCCGAACAGAAATAATGCTGGACGACCTCGTCAAGCCAGAACTCCTGCTGCAGAGGGAATACTTGAAATAGTAAAAAATATTCCCGAAATTAGTACCCGACAACTGGTACGTTAAACTGGAGTTTCAAAAAGTGCATCCAACAGAATAATAAGAAAACAACTTATTTATCTCTTTCACATTCAAAGTGTCCAGAAACTCCTACCTCCTGATTAAGGATCTAGTTTGCATTTTGTACAAGTTATTGAAGACAAGTCATGCTTCACACGACATGGTATAACAAATGCACATAACAAATATGTATATTGGTCACTATTGGTCCATTTAGATTGACATTTCGTCTTAATGGTGACAGTGACTTGCATTTTCTACGTCAAAATTTGCCTCAACTGTTAGAAGACTTACCGCTCAATTTACGCCGTGAAATATTTTTCATGCACGATGGTGCACCACCTTATTTTTCCGCATTGTGGGAGATTATTTAAACGAACAATACTATGGAAGATGGATTGGCAGAGGTCGAGGCCCTCCCATTCAGTGGATACCTCGATCACTGGACTGTTTTCCTTGTAAATATTTGGGGTCACTTGAAAACCAAAGTTTATGAAGTTCCTATCGACAACATTGAACAATTATGGGATATGATTCAAAATGTTGGGAAACCACTTTAATTTCTTGCGCCGAATTAAAATTTGCATGAACGAAGGAGGTGGATATATTGAACATTTATTATAAAAAACATTATCCTTCTCGTTGAATTGTTATTTTTTAGTAGATATAGTATTTTTAACACAAATCCCGTTATATGTCATCAATGACGTTGGTCTTTCGTCAAAGTACTATTAACTAATTCAAGTGTCCCTAACTAATCTGAAAATGTCCCGAATATTCACGAGCGTTCTTAAACGTAGTCATATTACTAAAAACCGAATTATATGAGTGTGATTATTTTGATAATTTTAGAATTTCTTCAATTAATTAGCTTATTTACGTCTTATTCTTGATAATATAAAATTTATAAAAATAGTATTACATGTTTATTACTCAAAACTTAAATCGACTGATTTCTGAATACATAGTATTTAAAAATAAAATTTTATTCGCTTATTTTAAATTGCACCAGCATTTAGTAAATACTGTCAATAAGAAGAAATTGGAATTTTTTGTAAATTTTTATGATTTTATACAGGGTGTCCCAAAATTTCGTGTACATAGAGCTAGTGTATGTTGGTGAGATCAAAATAGGTCAATTGAGCCAAAATTACCTATATCACAAAGTGCTTTGTTTGCCTGTGAGGAAGCTTCAAAGTTGAAAGAAAATTATTTTTTTTTAATAACTCAAAAACGCTTTATTCCATTTTTATAAAATTTGATATGTAACTATTTTAATTTAAGAGCCAAAATTACACTAACTAAACTCATGGGAGCGTAAAACCACCCTAATCCTACCATAAATGACATCGTTTTTTTTTTTGAGGGCCACCCCTCTTCCTTTAATTTTTTTGTGGAGACTATATTTATTTGTAGCATTTTTTGTTTCTTGCAAAAAACATGTATTTGAGTAAAAAAAAATTATGGACTGATTGGTAGTGACATAAAATTTTCGAAAAAATGGCAGTTATAACTAACGCAACCCGATCACTATCGCTTTTAATATTATTACAATAAAAAAAAATCACCAATAGTAACTGGTCAACTAATGCCGAACAGAAATAATGCTGGACGACCTCGTCAAGCCAGAACTCCTGCTGCAGAGGGAATACTTGAAATAGTAAAAAATATTCCCGAAATTAGTACCCGACAACTGGTACGTTAAACTGGAGTTTCAAAAAGTGCATCCAACAGAATAATAAGAAAACAACTTATTTATCTCTTTCACATTCAAAGTGTCCAGAAACTCCTACCTCCTGATTAAGGATCTAGTTTGCATTTTGTACAAGTTATTGAAGACAAGTCATGCTTCACACGACATGGTATAACAAATGCACATAACAAATATGTATATTGGTCACTATTGGTCCATTTAGATTGACATTTCGTCTTAATGGTGACAGTGACTTGCATTTTCTACGTCAAAATTTGCCTCAACTGTTAGAAGACTTACCGCTCAATTTACGCCGTGAAATATTTTTCATGCACGATGGTGCACCACCTTATTTTTCCGCATTGTGGGAGATTATTTAAACGAACAATACTATGGAAGATGGATTGGCAGAGGTCGAGGCCCTCCCATTCAGTGGATACCTCGATCACTGGACTGTTTTCCTTGTAAATATTTGGGGTCACTTGAAAACCAAAGTTTATGAAGTTCCTATCGACAACATTGAACAATTATGGGATATGATTCAAAATGTTGGGAAACCACTTTAATTTCTTGCGCCGAATTAAAATTTGCATGAACGAAGGAGGTGGATATATTGAACATTTATTATAAAAAACATTATCCTTCTCGTTGAATTGTTATTTTTTAGTAGATATAGTATTTTTAACACAAATCCCGTTATATGTCATCAATGACGTTGGTCTTTCGTCAAAGTACTATTAACTAATTCAAGTGTCCCTAACTAATCTGAAAATGTCCCGAATATTCACGAGCGTTCTTAAACGTAGTCATATTACTAAAAACCGAATTATATGAGTG